TTTGAAGGTATGCAGCAAACCAACAACACAAAGACAACTCCAATGGAAACAGACAGTAAGAAGTATTTTTTGGTCAACAGAGACGATGAAAACCTTCTTGTGAAACCGTAATACAGACTGACTGATACAGCTGCGGGAACATACAGATCAATACAAGGTTATAGACAAACATCTGAAGGTTGACTTTGCTGCAGACAAACATTAGAAAAACAAAAGTCCAGAAATCGCCACGCAGTTAGATCAGATCTGAAGCTACGGTAGAGGAGCGGCTGTCACACAGCGGCTCCACGCACTCAGTCCATCTTCTCCTTGTGAACCAACTTTGGGGCGTCCACAAAGTCCTGGCCGTTAAACAGGATGATGGTTGCTGTGATTGCACTGGCGCTGCCCCAGAACATGAAATAAGCCAGGGTCTCTGTCCACGTGTCACCTAGAAGACAAACACATTCACCTCTGGATGATTAAAGAGATCACTCTGCAGAGTGACACAGTGCAGAGGGAAGACATCCAACCCCACATTTACCAAGGATTCAATAACAGCCTGTTCAGTGTGGAGCAGTGATCCGGTAGTTGCATAGCCTTATAAGGGCATAGAATGAAACATCATCATCATGAGTTACTTTCATTTCATCAAAAGTCTCCCATGGTATGTACGGAAGACGATTAGGGCCACTGAAAAAAAAAAATTAACTGATTTTTAAATTTTATTTCAGTTTAGTATGGGAAAAAAGTCAGAATTTCGACTTTTTTCTCAGAATTCTGACTTTTTTTATTATCAGAATTCTGAGATTAAAGTCAGAATTCTGAGATTAAAGTCAGAATTCTAAGAAAAAAAGTCAGAATTCTGACTTTTTTTATTATCAGAATTCTGAGATTAAAGTCAGAATTCTGAGAAAAAAAGTCAGAATTCCGACTTTTTTCTCAGAATTCTGACTTTTTTATTTTCAGAATTCTGAGATTAAAGTCAGAATTCTGAGAAAAAAAAGTCAGAATTCTGAGAAAAAAAGTCAGAATTCTGACTTTTTCTCAAAATTCTGACTTTAATCTCAGAATTCCGACAATACTTTTTTTTTTATTATTGTCAGAATTCTAAGAAAAGTCAGAATTCCGACTTTTTTCTCAGAATTCTGACTTTTTTTATTGTCAGAATTCTGACAATAAAAAAGTCAGAATTCTGACACTTTTTTAATTGTCAGAATTCTGAGAAAAAAAGTCAGATTTCTGAGGAAAAAAGTCGGAAATCTGAGGAAAAAAGTCGGAAATCTGAGGAAAAAGGTCGGAAATCTGAGATTAAAGTCAGAATTCTGAAATTAAAGTCAGAATTCTGAGATTAAAGTCAGAATTCTGAGATTAAAGATTTTTCCCCATACTAAACTGAAATAAAATTTAAAAATCAGGTAACTGTTTTTTCCCAGTGGCCCTAATCCTCTTCCGTAGGTATGCGTCCTTTCAAATACAGAAAGCGGCTCGACACTCAACAGGCTCCATTTGAGACCTGATTCAGTTCAAACACATGTAAATCAGAAACCACATTTAGTTCAGGGCTGCAATTTGCCAGTTAATCTCTAGAGATATTATTAATTGCACATGCTAAATTTCAGCTAGATCAACCAACTGGAAGAGGGTCAGGGGTATTGCTTATTGAACGCCCTTCCTAATGACCAAGAACCTGAGAAAAATACTCAATAAGAACATGAAAATGAAATGTTACTCTGCTCTCTGCACCAATGCAAAATGTTTTCAACAAACTGGGTAAAAAGTGCAGAAAAGAAGCAAATGTGCCTTAAAAGCACCACAGAGCTCTGGTTCTTACAGGATCATCTCAGTACATCTCTGGTTTAGAAATGAAACATTAACGGTGTTCTGCCAGATCAGCATACCACGTCAGAGCAGCGTAACAATAGTCAATACGCATGAGCACGACGTCAGATTTGTGTTTATCTCTTTAGATTTGTTCGAAAAATAGACTTACTACTAAAGGGTTAAACTAAAGGGATAAACAGGTATTGACTGTGGATAACCCCAGCTGACAGAACACCAGCACATATATGTCATCTGTCTGGAAATAGACTGCAGGCTCATCCTGAGCAGATTTCATTCCACATGTTTCAATTTTTTTTTTTTTTATTGGGCATTTTTAAAAAGAATACACTGCAAAAATGTTTTGAAAATGAGTAAAAATTTCTATAAAATAAATGTATCTACCCTTAATTTGAGTAGGAAATGAGATTATCTGCCAATGGAAAAAAGCTTTTTACCCTTAAAATAAGATGATCACATATTATTTACTTAAATATATAAAGAGATAAATAAAAGACTGCTGTT